CTATATATATATATAAAACAAAGAAAAATGATCTATCACTCATATATATCATTATTATCTATAATAAAAAATACCTATAGTCATTCTCTCTAGAATATATAATATATATATATATAAAATAAATAAATTGATATAAAAAGGAAGACACACACGGGGTAACATAATAATATACGTTTTGAGCGCGGCATAAAAAAAAAAAGAAACATCTTACGTGACGGATCTCAGAGCGCCATGACGGAATCTCCTCCGCCAGCATCCCCTACGTTGCCCGAGGCGCTTTTTTCTATCGATGCTAGTGCACCAGGTGTACCTTTGAATCTCATCCTCGCGTCGTCTCCTACTACCACTGTGCGCTGACAAAAGATCAGCGTGAGACAACTAACGAAGAACAATATGCTCGGTAGTATAAATGCAATCATGAATTCTTTGTAAGTAGTTTCGAGATCGAAACGGGAAACGACGATACCGGTGTTACCCTCGGCATAATAACACGGGAATCTAGCTCTAGCATTGTGATCGGAACCATCTTTCCCATATTCGTGAAGGAATTCCTTGCACTCGTCGCGAAGTGTATTAACGCATCCTTCAAGATTGATCAGCAACCTACTCTCATTGGCTATTATCAAATCCTGTTCGGGTGGTGCCACCATTCTTGATTCGTCCAATGGTTTAGTAGCAAATATATTCAAATATGATAGATAAGTAAAGTTGGTTAAATCTGTAAGCAGATCCTTTTCCAATACGGATCCGTTAATACAATCTACCGCTTCAACTCCTAACGTTGAATTAAATATACCGTAACACGAGGCCATCATGACGTCACCACGATCCTCGTGCCAAATTTCACGATTGGTTTCAACGTCTATTGCTCTTTCGCATTGGCTCAAATATACTTTGTCGCCGCTCAACAATATCATATTTTTATTTCTAGTTGGTATATCGACGCAACGTCTGTCGCAATTATACGGTGTTCTGATGCGTTCGCATGTACCACGATTACAATTGAATAGGCCGTCTATATCGATGCAAGTTATTTTGCCACGTCTACCGGAACACTTCATTGGTGGATCGGTATCGTGAAACATACACTCGAACGCGTCCGTTATATTTATGCACGTACCCGCCGAACAATTAAACGTACCGGTTAAATTACGACACTCGTCTATTATGCACTTTGATTTTTTCGCGTTTTCCTGATCTATACCGTAACAAGTTTTGTTCGTGGTGTTCGTACAATTGGCTAATAGTATTGTCGAACCGTTACGACGTAAATTAACGTGGATTTGGACGCAAGGACCTGACGTTTTAGACAGACACCACTCGCCGCAACTTCCCCACTCGCAATTGTCTGCGTTCACGGCGCGAATTGTAGTACACATTGCTGGTACCTCGCTGATACCCGATTTAAATGCACGAGTACTTGGCATGTAAATGGCAACTGTTAAATAAACCAACGCTACCGAGGACAATACTGCAGTCATCTGACATATGCAGATGGTACCGCAGATCCTACCGTCTTGCGGTGGTATCACTAAGTTCTCAACCGGCACTTGCTTCGGCATCGTGCCGGCTTTATTTTCTCAACTTCTTCGATGATTATTCGAATGATCCTTAGATCCGATCTAAAAGTCGGAGAGTTTACATGCTATATATCTAACGATTAAACTCTCATCCGTTTTATTATTCGCAACTGTCATCAATCTTTACATTCTAGTAACTTTCAAATAACAATTGAATTAATTTAACGCGCGCGCGGACACCCAATGACGTTTATTCTTATCCTTCTTTATATTCTTCTTAACCGAAAAAAAAAAAAACAACTTTGTCAGAAGTCTTGATTATCCTCTTCTCCTTTTCCCATTAAAAATTTCTCAAACTATAGTATTCGTAAATCATTCGAATAAATTCGATTGAAATTCATCTGATGATGGTGGTGGTGATGGTGTTGATGATAACTTTGTAACTTAAACGTCTATCTTGAATCATTTCTCGTTACTTTTTGCCCGACACAATAATCTCCGTGTTCGTGATAGTCGGTAACCTTCTTCCACCCTTTTTAAGGAAGAGTCCAACCAGCGCGCGCGCGTTTCTTCTATCAGAGCTTTCCGATGAGAACCTGGTGCTGGTTTTGCGCGGCGTTTGCGTCGTGTGCAACGTGACGTGCGCGCTCGAAAACGAAATAATCGATCGTAGTAAGGTGTTTAAGGGTCGCTAGTAGCGCATGCGATTTGTCGACCTGCATCGCAAACGCCTCTCTCTGGTTACCGCAGTTGACGTCATTCCTCTCTCTCTCTCTTTCTTTCTTTTTTTCTGTTTCATTTTTTCTTTTTTAAACGATATGCAACTCTCGTCCTGCATCGACGAGGCCAAGACATTTTATAAATAGGAGGTACCGTTCAGAGATGGCGCCAATCTTAAAATCCCCCCAACCCCACCCCCCACCTCAACGAAAAATGTATCCTTTGTGACAATTTCCGATACATTATTTTTTAATCTTGTGATCGAACATCATCTTTTCTGACGGATTATTAAATTATCTTTATTATTATTATGATTTATCATTGGAATTTCTGATATTCTTTCCTTTTTTCGGTATAAATCTTTCATCGGGGTTGTCTTTTCTTTTTCTTTTTTATTTTTGCGATAGAAAACTTTGCTCGAGACTTTTTTCTTACATTATGTGTTTTTCTTCTTTTTTTTTTTTTTATATATTTCTCTATTCGAAACCTGTTTCCTTTTGCATGTTTAACGAAACTCTTGGGTAGTAAAGTTGTGACACAGTTTCCTTAGCGATATCGGTCTCAACCGTGGCTGACATAATATGACACCGGCACGATACAGAAAGAAAGAGAGAGAGAAAGAGAGAAGGAAGGAAAAGGGTACGAAAAAAAGAAAAAAAGGGAAAAGGAGAAAGAAGGGAAAAAAAATAAAAAGGCTCGACGCGTTAACACGTAATCTAGTTTATCGAACGGCAGGCTTAGACAGTGTGGCGCCTTTGCTTTATTTAACTCTCTCTCTCTTTCTCTCTCTTATTCTCTTTTATTTTACGTTGTGTACAGCTTGTCATCGATAGCGTTTACAATTATAGTATACTATTATCATGGTATTTTGCTTTAGTTTACATTTTTTAGTATTTTTGTGTGTATGTGTCTTGACTACTTATTTATTAAAATTGAAATTTTTCTATGAACGTCTCATTTCTCTCTCTTTTAATCCAAATTTTTGCAATAAGAAATAATAGAAAAATAGAAAGATCGATCCTCGTCGGAAACATTTAATCTATCCTATTATTATTATTTTTTAAATTGATATAAAACATTTTTCCAAATGGTTTTGAAGTACCAGTCGTAAATATACACACACAACCGGCATATTATACTTATTCCGCAACGGTCTTTGCGCTGAATAATTTAGAGTCAGGTGATCGATTCGCAGGTGAGAGAGAGAGAGAGAGAGAGAGAGAGAGAAAGAAAGAAAGGTGAGGTTGCACGTACCTACGCGAGTATTCCTATTCCGAGCGACCTCGTTTGGAATTCGTTGAAAATGCATGACCGAAAGAAAGAGATCAAGAAAAAGAAGAAAGATAGAAAGAGAAAGAAAGAGAGAGACAGAGAGAATATTTTTTTTTACATCCACACAAATGACTTAAACTTATAAGAGTAAAAACTTATTTCCATACTAAAAGTATTTTTTATTCAAATATGTTATACCCAAAATTATTGTAAATCCTATAACTCTTCATTTATTTTATAATAAATTTCAAATTGAATGAAACGAGAGAGTGAGAGAGAGATAGAAATATAAAAAAAATAGTATTAGCATAAAAATTATTTATTCCTAAAAGTATACTCGTAGAAATCTTATAATATTTATATATATTCTTGTGTTTGATTATTTTAATATATATATATATATATATAACTGGGATTTCTCTTTCTCTCATGGATGACTATATTTCAAGTTGTACTACTAGGTCTGAATATCGTTAGGCGGCATCTACTGTTTCCCATTCGAAGTTAAATACCAATGGGTATTCAACGAACGATCGTATGTATGTATAACCGTACAAACATACGTCGTCGTCGTTGTCGTCGTCTTTACTTAGGTCATTTATCGAGCTAACTATATCTGGTAATTAACTTGTTAATACCGAGACGTTTATGTAACGAAAGCCAACTAAACGCGAGGTAAATAAAATAAGCTTATCTTGATCGACGATCTTCACCAAAAGCCACCGGGGTTACGAATAAAAGATTTTCAATCAACTTATTCCACTTTTTTTCTCGACGTCACCGTCCTCGGAATAATTTCTCCTTCCCTATCCAAGAATCGAATAATAAAAAAAGAAAGAATAGAAAATAAAATAAAAAATAACACGCGAATGGAAATTCAGATTCCGTGACGTTTCGTGCTCCACGTGCGTTCGTTAAAAATAGACTCGAAGAAGTTGTTACCGATCGATCGAACAACGATCCACCACTGTCGTATGTTTTTTTCCTTTTTTTTATTTAACTTTTTCATTCTCGAAAGGATTATGAGTGTCAATTCGGATCTTATTCTGGTATACTTTAATTCAACTGGACTCCATCAGTGAATGAAATAGGATAAACAAAAATCCGAGCGAGTTAGCAATTAGGAAAATTGTAATATACTTTCGTAAAAATTATACGACGACAAACAGAATTAATTGTTTTTTTTTTAATATAAACATATCATGTAATTAATATCATTAATATTATAAATTGTCAAATTTATAATTGAAAGTATAATAGAAAATATTATCCTTAAATATATGCACTCGGTAAACAATATATATTTCCCCGTAATTATATTTAATAATAATAATTTAAAATTAACACCACACGCGTCAAAGAAAAATGATCATCGCACGTTGTTTTAAAACACTGATTTATAAAAAAACACTGTCCCTGTCGTTAGAAAATGAACATTTTTCGTCGTCGAGGTAAATCCCTGTGATGTCCCGCGAACCAAACCGATCTTTCTAATATTTTCTCGAAGAAAATGAAACGTTTGGAGATGAGAGAAAGTATAAAAGAAATGGATAAACGTTTGACCTGACAATTATTTAAAATGATTACAATGTTACTCACTTTAAATGATGATTCCTTATTTTTTCTTTTGGAAACCGACGATGTGTAAGACCCTTTTCGGAAAAATTCACTTTCCGCAGTCACGATGCTCTGCCTGGGGGAAACAAATATGGCGGTGAGTGCACTGGAGCTTCAGTTGCTCCACCTCGTTGTTGCCGTATCGTATTAAAAAATCAATACAATCCGGTTGGGTTCCAATCATTGATATGACGACTACGACAACTATGACGACGAGGAAAACGAGTAGGAGTTATATTTGACAATGATACTTATTCCAAATCTTTATTTTATTCAATTATTTTATAAAACAATAACGAAATAAAAGCTTCCCGTATTGTATATCCCAAGAATTTGCATTGGCGCTGATAACTTTTTTACGAAATCTTATTGATACTTGAAAACAACAAAATAAAAAAGGAAAGAAAATTCGTTTCACGCGTTAATTATTCTTCTTCTCTTGTTAATTTTGTAACGGGGAAGAAAAAATGTAGAGATGATATAAAAATAGATGTAAAACAATAATCGGAAAAATCATATTAGTTTGATTGTGAAGTGAAAAAGAGGAATATATAGGTTATACCATTATCTCTTGTTGTTAATGTCTCGGGATTCTTTTCTATCGTCTGCGAATTCGCGTTAGCCCTGCGGCATAACTCCGTTACTTTCTTTCTTTCTTTCTTTCTATACTTTTTAAAAAGGAAAAGTACCTTTACTCTCGGGATAGAGAATAAGAGTCGGAGTACCACACAGCTTAAAATCGACCGCTTGATCGAGCATTGTCTTCTTTATTATCGTTTCTCTGCCACTTCAGTCAACTTTTCTTTTCTTTTCTTTTATTTTTTCGTTGGATAATTAATTACTCTCCTTTTAACCCCTTTTTTCATTTTTCCTTTACAACAAGTGGGATTGTACGTGGAAAACAAAAATTGTATAAATTACATTTGTAAGATATTTTCATTTTTAAATAATATTTCATTCAATCTTTCTGTGATCTCATTAAGATTAATAAGAACGAGAACGAGAATAGTTTGATATTTAATAGAATAATGAGATATATAAAGAAAAAGAATTGAAGAGAAACAGAGTGATAGCTGATTAAAGTTTTAGGTTTGCCCGAGGAAATGGTACGTCGTTCACAGCCGGATTGTGAACATGCATATTCCCTTACCATAAATAGATAACAATTTCCAATATTGTCAATAAGTTGACCCATTCGTTGCAACATTTTCCTACCTTCCACCTTTTAACGTTCTCAATCTGTTGTTACAAAAATTCATCGAATGAATACGATCCACCCTTTATTTCTTTATCCCCTTTATCCTTCGAAGGATAAATAACGTTATTATTTTCTACCTTATTTCTAAGATTATTCCTGTATACACCTTTAATCGATCATCTGACAAAAATACATTCGTTCTAAGTTGGCACACTTTACGATTTTACTTTACGAATATCAATTATTTCATCGTACTAATTTTATCTAACAATTCGTAGGCCGACGAGGGGGTTCGGGGGTTCGGGGGTTGGAAGGAAAGGGGAGTACGGGGATAAGTTTGGAATTAATTAGTTCGCTATTTCGCCTTGGAGTCATTTCGAATCTATACGAGGAATGCATTCAGAGATAATCCTGGCTTCCTCGAGGGATCACGAGTTTGCGAAAGTCGTGGTGAAGGAAGGGAAGGAAGGGAGGGAGGGGCTTTGGGGTGTAGGAGGCTTCGATTGAACGCGTTGTTTCGAAGTTAAAACGAGTATGATATATATGTGTGTGTATGTGTAGTATATAACAGACACATTGAAACTCCTTTTTGTTTTTGAGTGGGGTAGCAAACGATATTAACGTGATGAAAATATTGAAACATTTTCTAATCGTTCGTATTTTTACGCGATATATATTTAGAAATTAATCGAGAAAAAAGACAATATTTTCATTTTGGGCCTATTAAATAATTCAATTTATATATATTGTATATTGAAAACAATAGTATTGTACAAAATAATTAGAGTGTTAATATTTTAGTCTTGTCATTTGCACCCGCGCGTGTGGGGTATACGTATGTTAAAAAGAAATATATAAAGAGAAGAAAAAAAAAAGAAGCTAAAGGATCATCGATAAATTGGAAAGGAGAAGGTTGAGAAGCTTGAAAATAAAGTAAAGCATTTGGCCCATATTTCGGTTCATTGGCTCCGTGCCAATTTTACTCTGGCGTCGGGCACGTGAGGGGACAAACCCTTTCCAAAAGTAAAACCGAGTGAATCTCTAAGGTCAAACCTATCCTCCTCCCCTCCCATGGCATTGTGATTACTTTCATTCGGTACTCTAGAGACGTAACGCGATCCCACAATACTTTTCTCTCATTGATTTTGTTTAACTTCGTCTAGTTTGTCTCAAAGGATTCCTCTAAAGTAGGGTTGACAGAAGTGGGAGGGTGGGTGGTACTCAAGACTCGTGTCAAATGATTTTTTTTTTAAACTGTTTGCGTAGGAAAAGAAGAAGATGAAATTGTATATAAAAATTAATAATAAAAAAAGAAAGAAAGAAGTTATGATCATAAATTTGTTTTTTAGAATTGGATTAATTTGTAGAAGTGAATTGTTATGATATTAATTAGATCAAAAATTAATTTTAATTTTGTTTGATATATGTTAAAATATATTTGGATAGAATATAATATAAGAATTGTTGTTGCATTTTTGTAAAAAAGAAAAGTTGTATCGGAAAAGCTCTCCAAACCCCGAAAGGGGACGAAGTATAAATGAATAAATAAAAAATATACAATTTGTCAATCTTAAATATTATTACGAGAAAATTCTTATTTGAAATTATTTAATCGATAACGATTCCGATATTTCATTATCGAAACTTGTTAAACGAAGAAAAAAAGAGATTGATTTTCTTTTTTTTTTTTTTTAACAGAAATGTATTGGCTTTATCGGTTTGCTAATCTTCTCTCTCGACTTGTTTACGATCCCATTATCCATATATATTTCTTCTCCTTAGCTAAGAGCACTTCTCGATGATGATGCAGTTCGTGGAATAAATTTTCGATAAAGAAATATCTCTACTATCGTAGTAATAGTAGTAGTAGTAGTAGTAGTAAGAACTAGCGTATGGTCAGACAAGTAAAGAAGAAGAAACTTCGTAATCATTTTGTTCAATGTAAAACACAATATCTTTTTTGAAAATTGTTATGAATACTTATTGAACATTATACTTTCATTCTGTTGAAAATATACATACATATATATATACACATATATATGAGAAGAGTATCGATTAATATTGCACGCATATGTGCATAAAATGTATTCGTTACTTTCGATAATATCGTCATAATATTTTCCAATGCTAAAGTAACGAAAGACCGATCGATACTTTCTCATTTTTCTCGCGAAAAATATAAGAATATATATATGTATATGCATAAAAAAAAAAAGTCATTCTTTTTACCGATCTGCATCGAGGTTATAAAAATTTATTGAAGCATGGAAACTTTACGACTAAGATACACCAATATTGTAGACATTTCTTTTTCGTCGGCTCATTGCCGTGAGAAAGGATTGAAAAGGAAGAGGAAGAGGAGGTGGAGGAGGAGGGATGGGGTGCCTAAGGGGTAATACGGTGCTCCATAATAATGACCTCTTCTCGTTTTTTCCCCATTCCACAATTCTCACTGAAACAATCGTCCCGCGTAAGACGGTATTTTGTTAACAATCTCGTAAAAAATAATAAAACCACGATGATTATCTGGTTTTATTTATCTGGTTTTTTTTATTTCGATTTTAAATTGTTACAATTCTGTGCAACACAATCAATGTCTCGTAAATAATTATTAAAAAGATAACACAATATTTTCTTATTATTATTTGTATAGGAATTTTTATATAATATTAATATATTTATGAACGATATATAAAAAATGTCTTGAATGCATAAAAGTTTGACAATGAATAAAAAGGGAAAGCTGTTATATTTTTCTCTATAAAGAATTTCGATGTATTTGTAGTTCGAGTATCGGGCTGTTCACACGTCGGCTTTATCGATGATCGACCGTGTACACGTTTTCAAATGTCCAACGTTAAACCCCCCATCGACGTTTGAAAGCTCGTAAATATATCGATCAATTGGAAAACTAAATGTTACCCTTTGACCAAATTTTTACATCTTCTTCTTTCTTTCGTTTCATAATTTTCTTTCTTTCTTCCTAACAACGATTAAACGTTCTACGTGGAAAAAAAGTTTATGGGGGTGGTGAAGGATGGTCGTGGAATTAGAAAGAAGAAGAAAAAAAACATAGGAAAAATTTTAAACAAGGAACACGTTTGTTAAAAACAACAAGAACTCCTCAAGTGTATCAGATTTTGAATTAATTCGAATATTAAAGTATAGTAAAGTTAATAAAAAAAAAGAAATGTTAGGAATATTAACAGGAGTTAAGATGTTGTTCACGTTGTTACGTTGTACCAACTGTTTTACTTCTTCTATACATCTATTTTAATCGATCTTCCGTGTTGTACCCTATTGTTTGACTCGTTAGAAAAAAAAAAAAGGGGAAGGAGGCTTTATACCGACTAGCCACTTCATATTCGAGTGTTAACGAAAGCAAGAGAACACTTTAGTAGTCGTACAAGACCCGCCCGACGTTGAAAGCACTGTATCTTTCGATCGGTTGACAAAAAGCTCAACGAAAGCTCGCGAGAAAACACGTGTCAAGTTACTCTCGTCTTATATATTTTAAACACAACTACTTGCTACTTATTTCGCGATTAAATAAATATCTTTAATATTTAACAATACACGTATTATTATTATTATTATTATTTGAAACAATTAATTTCTTTTCAAATAGAAATGTTATTTTTCTATTATCATATACCCCGTTAAAATATTTTACGAAATATTGAGAACACGTCATCGATTAATTATTATTATTATTATTATTATACCACGATTTATTTTTGAAGGAAATAAATTAGAAATAAGAGGAGGAGGAAAATAAAACACACACGTAAATAAATGGCAAAAACCAAACAGGTGAAAAACATTATTTCATTTTTTTCCAGAGCTTTGTAATCGAGTTTGATGATCGTGAAATGGGAACCTTATCTCCCTTTAACCCTTTCCCTTTCCAAACCACTACCCTCCTTTAAGTTTTCCTTCATATTTCGTTCTACTTTTAACTCATAGTCACTCACTCTCTCTCGTTTATCTCTAAGTATAATGGTAAAAAGCGTGTTTAACATCGTATCAGAAGACTTCTATTTCAATGTTGTCTTTTTTAATGGCATTTGCACTATCGGTAACATGTTTCCCACAACCAGTTGACTGAATCATTTTGATTGACAGGACGTTATACATGGAAACTGCATGAAACCCAGTTGAGAGAATATTCATTGAGACAGGAAAAGGACAGGCGCGATACAACAACCGGTAATTGCATTTTCGTATTCATCCGGAGAGATTAGAAATATTGTATGGGGGTGAAGGGTAAGGAAGGAAAAGAGAAAAAGCGATTGAATATTAAATAACATAAGAAAATGTTTTAAGTAATCTTCGAATAAATTATCTTTCACGTTTATTTAATAATCATTTTCATTGTCAATTATATATATTTTGAACGTGAAATGTATTTTATCATTATTTTATTATTTATTATATTATAAAATATACAAACTTGTGTTTCTCGTAAGAAATCCGTTCGATATTAGTTTCCTGAACAATTTCAAAAGGATTCAAGAACGTAGATCGTTTGCTAACGTCCCGAAGAAGTGAAGATAAGGGAAAAAATAGAGAAATCCAATGGGAAAATAGAAATGGGGAAAGAGAGAGAGAGAGAGAGAGAGAGAGAAAGGGAATGGTCCAATCGATTTAAACGAATAAAGAAAATCGTATCTCGAAGCGATCGATAAAACGTTCTCGCTCTCATAAATCAAATTGTCATTGAAATTCTTTGGCGAGTTTCCAAGAATGACCATTGGAGTTTATCACTTGGGATATTTCTGTAGATACATCTCGAATTCTACACGATAAATATATATATAAATACAACAAGAGAGATCCATTGTGATTGGAGAAAAATTCTTCGAGAAATATGATAGAAGAAAAAAATACAAGAACTTTAACGTATTCGTAATTCGTTCTTAGTTACCATAGAAATAACAAACAGGAAAAAAGAAAAAAGCAGAAAGAGAGAGGGTGAGTTTTCATGTAAATGCTTAAGATAATTCATTTTATAAATCGATATACACATTTGATAAACCAAAAAACACAAGGACCTGGGGAATGGTACGAAAAGTATGAAAAATAAGACACGGAAACAAAGAATAAAATAATAATAATAATAATAAAAAAAAAAGGGAAATATGTGAGAAAAGTAGAAGGGTAAGAGGAAGAAGCGTAAGGGGTGGGGTAAGAAAAAAAAAATAAGAAAAAAGGAGGGGTACATACTAGAAAGAGGAAAGTTACATCAACGCGAGGTGTTTTCAGAGAATAAGGGTGTTGGTGGTGGGATCTTTCTGGTGATGGTGATGGTGGTGGTGGTGGTGGAATCGGTCGATGCCACCAGATGCCGTCGTGGCGCCAGTGTCGGCAGAAAATAAGCTCGCCCAAAGTTACCCTAGACTGCAGTAGCCCGGCATCCGTCGGCGCCGCGGCCAGGGTTTCGGAAAAAGCACTAGGAAAAAGCGGCGGTGTGCTTTTAATAATACGTCCCCCATATCGTTCGTTCGTTCGTTCGTTCGTTTATTCGTTCAATTATTCGTTCGTTCGCAAGCTCCGTGAGCTTGCGTCGGTACGAGCATCAACGTTATCCGATCACAAATCTTCTTTTACCTGCTACACGATATTACTAATTTTTTTTTCAGCAAAAAAAATAAATATATATATATATATATAGATATATGTATATGTATATGTATATATATATATATAGATAGATAGATAGATAGATATAAAAATAGATAAAGAAAGGAAAAATATATTGAGTGAACTTAAGAAGAAATTAAAAGAAAAAGAAGAAAAAGAAAAAGAAGAAGAAGACAATAACGTTCAACATGACGATTGTCTATTAAGGAAAGGAATTACTATTGAAATTAATTAATCGGTTAATTAATCGATGCAGAAGAGATTAATGGATTAAATGCTCAAGGTGGAAAATTGTATCGCGTAGTGAAGAAAGGAGAAAACCGGGTGGACGAGAGGAAGAGGGTGGTTGGACGCGCGAGGGCAGCCCAGGAGGGTGAAAAAGGAATAGAGAAAGAGAAAGAGAGAGAAAAAGAGAGAGAGAGAAAGAGAAAGAACACAGGATGCGGGGGCACAGGAAGAGGGCGCCAAGCCCCGTAGATTTTTCTTCTTCTTCTTCTTCATAGGGGGTACACTCTACAATTTTCTTCAAGAAATAAAGAACAAATAAATAAAAAAATATATGAGATATAAAGAATGAAATGAAATGAAATGAAAAGCTGTCGAACTTTTATCTAAAATCGTACTTTCGATCTGGTTCAAGATTCCTTTCGTTTAGTTTAATTTAATTTAGTTTAATTTAATTTTCTAACATATCATTTCTTCGTCACGTTATTTCTTGTATAAATAAATATTTATTTTAGTTCGAATTTGTGAGGATACTTGATATATATATGTATCCTAATTCGGTAAGCTTTGAGAAATCGAAAGGAGATTATATTTTTAGAAACGAAATTGGAAGATTCAACCCCTTATTCTCATCCCCTTTCTCTCTCATTCTTTGATTCCCTCGTTTTATATCGAACGAAATAAGCATAAGCTAGTATTTCCTTTTCAAATTAATTTATTACATTTGAATCGATCTTTCTTTTTTTTTTAGAGAATATTTTTCTATTTCTTTCTCTCTCTCTCTCTCTTGATTGTATTAAAAAATGATTATATAATTTTTGGAATATATTTTAACGATCGTACCGAGAGCAACGACATTAAATTAATATTTTTTTTTTCTTTTACACTCCTGATATTCATTTCGTTTTGACATTAAATTAGAAACGTTTTGGTCATTACATATATATATATATATATATATACATACGTAACGATAGTAGTGAAAGCGTGTTCTCAGTGTGTTCCACTTTCGAGTCCGACGAACGCGTTGACACGCTCGATCGAGCGTAATTAATTAGTCGTGGTTTCGTAGTAAACCACCCCCCCAGCCAACCCTTTCAAATCGTTTCGGTACAAATTTCGTTTCGTAGATTACAAAAGCAATTGGTAAAAGTAACGATAATCGTGAAAATACTTGACCTCGAAAATGAAACGTTAAACGGCGGAGCTTTAAAAGTCAAACCAATCCACCAACCCTTAACCAAATCTCGATCGTTTACTTTAATCTGCGGTTCAGTAATTAATCAATTTTATTTACATTTTGGAGTTTCTTCTTTTTTTACTTTAAAACTATATATAAAAAGAAAAATTTAATATCAATGAAAGTTCCGTCTACACCGTGTATAATAATAATAATAATAATACGAGTTGTTTTCCTTTTGAACGTAGTTTTTAATGCTTGAAAATAAAAAAATATATACCTTGAATGAAGTTACTATACAATATACCGTACAAATAATTATTATTATTGCTTATTCTTTTCAAAAAGAGAGAGAGAGAGAGAGAGAACTGACTCAAGATTTCTGTTTTGCGTGTTGAGGGGTGGGAAAGGTGGATGAGAAAAGGGAAGGGATGAAAGAATTCGAGAAATATGGGGCAGTAGTAAAGTAGAGAACTTAAAGGCGATCTGTAATACTCGCGTGTAACAACGTCGTTCTATTTTTTATTATTATTATTATTATTATTATTATACTACACGTATTTCTTTTTATTATCTTCTTTTTTTATTTCAAACCTCACAAACCCCTCACCCTCCGGCTATAGTTTGTTTACCGAATATCGATATTCACTTATTTTATTTTATATACGTACTCTTGTGTATCAAAAGAAAAAAAGAAAAAAGGAAAGAACAAAAAGAAATAGTAGGAAGAGAAAGTTCAACGATTCAACCTGATGTTGTAGAAATATTCGAACACTTTGAAGAATACATACATACGTGTAAATGATAAACCACGATCGATTGGTAACTTTTTACCAAACGCATATATGCGCTCATAGCACCAATCGAAGCTTTAAAATGAACAAACAAAAAAAAGCAAAACAAAATAAAATCAAATGCTAAGAAATCATATTGAAAAATAAAGATCGAAAGTACGATTATGTTCTCGAGATAGCTCAAATTAATCTCACGTTGTCAGATTTTGATAGCTTTAAAATGGAAATATAAAAATGATATGAAAGAAAATAAGAATAATAAAACAACTAATGTGTGTACTTATGTACGCACGTAAGAAGTTATACTTCTTTTTAGCATACCAAACGAGCATAACCTCAAATATAACTTCAATTATCTCGCGTACCAATATAATACTCTAAATTAAAATAAAATGAAGATATTAAATACCATTGATAAACGTTTTAATTAATATGTACAATCTAATTTATTTATTTACGAATTACTTCATACCAATCGTTTTTCCCGCGCATCGTAAATATCGACAACTTCGTGGTGTTGATTTTTCGGTTGCATCTAACTTCACTTTCCAAAACGCGCTAAAAGAAGTATAACTTCAAAACAAAAAAATATACAAAACACGATCTTATATATATATATACATACATATATATATATATATATAATACATATATAAAATAATAATAATAATAATAATAATTAACGCAGATCTTCTGCTTCGCCTCTTCGACGTCTTGTGTTACGGCGGAGCTTAATAATAAAAGGACACGAAGAAAAGTGAAAGAATTAAAAGGAATATTATAATAATAATAATAATAATAATAATTAATCGTCGTCGTTATCGTCGTCGTCGTCGTCATCGTATCCGTAAAAAAACGAGCACTGCCGTTTGTTATCCGACATGGCGGACGAAAAGGAGAAGCAGACGTTCCTGCAGAAGTTACTGTTCTACACAACCGCGTTCTTCATCCTCCTCAGCACCTTCAGCCTCTTCGCCTTCCTCTTCTTGGTCCCCTTCGTCATCGACCCCGCCTTCACAACCATCTTCATGCAGTTTGACACTCGGCCTGCCGAGTGTGTCACCATCGACGTTGAATCCAGGAGAGGTGAAACATTCGATCTTCTTCTTCTTGTTCTTCTACTTCTTCTACTTCCTCATCAAAAAAAAACCCCCAACCCCTTTTTCTCTCTCTCTTTCTCTCTGTTTCATTCACTCAGTTTCTGATCTTTTTTATCTTTTCGTGTCAGAAACGTGTTGTTAGTTATCCCCTTGTCTCGTTTGTTCTTTCGTTAGTAAACTAGTTCGTTGTTGGTTGTTGTTGGTTATTGTTGTTGGTGTTTTCATGTTTCGTTGCATGTATTTCGATCAACTCATTTGTGTGAACAATTATTTCTTTGTTTTTCTTTTTTTTGAGAGAGAAGATAAAGAAAAGAATATTTAAATGTATATTTATATATATATATATCACTTTTTTTTGATAAATTATTCGTGAATTTTTATATAATCGTATTTTTTTATAATAAAAAGAATGATCCAATTGTGTAATTTAGAATCGACAAATCAAACGTACTTTTTTATATTACCTATATATAAAATGATATTTAACGAAAGATAATTTTTCTTTTTCATTCAAAAAAGTCGAATAGAAATATATAACTTTGTAAACGTTAATACTCATTTTCATTAGCAGTCGTAATCGTGTCATTTATATATTTCTTTTTTTTTTTCAAGAATTTTCACATACACACATACATTCGTTAGCTTGAATTAATAATTAACAAGTAAACACACGTGTGCATAAAAGATAGCTTCGAATATTCCACGATTAATATTATTCCTCGTATTAGTGCGTGTGCGTGTGTGAATGTATACATTTTAATATGTAGATATGTATAATACGTTTAGGTATAATATGTATGTATGTCTCGTGCAATTCTTTGAGATACTTCCGGAATGCATAAAAAGTTTTCCCCATCTTTCTATCCTTCTCTCTCTCACTCTTCTTTTTTTTTCCTTTATTCGTTGAATTTCCATTGAAATAAAAGTTGAACGAACTCACTCATACGAGCTTCAGCGTATTTTCTTCGTTATCATCGGGGGTCTCAGTATCATGCTGAGCTTGTTATAAAGGGATCAAAGAATTTTTATCACCCCTTTATTTAGAATCGTAGTAAACGTTCTATCACGTGTGAGAATGCAACAAAATATATAACAACAGTTCATTTAGTTTCTTTTTGTATTATTTCTTTTTTTCTATTAAACTTTCGAATGTTAATGGACGAGTATATGCGTCCAACGAAAAAAAAAATCCATTGTCGAGCGAGGACGCATATATGCGCTTATCAATTTTCTTCTTTTCTTTACTCCCTTATTATTTTTAATAGAAATAATAGTTTACATTTTCTATATTAAATATATTTTCTATAATATAATATAAAATATTAATTATAACCTGTGGAATAAAAGAGAGAGAGAAGGAAAGAGATTTTTTTTAAATGATAGAATTTAAGATTGACGCAACTGGTGTCTTTTTACTCGCGATATTCAACCTGGTCTCGAACGATCCGCACACTTATTCGTGCCCCACGGTACTTTTTCATTCTTTCGTCAACCCTCATTCTAACACACTTGACTACTACTACTCTTCTCTCGAACGTCATCATCGTGCATAGGAGAATTGGGGGTTAAAGGTGTTCTCCACGATCAAGTGTTCAACAATTTTCTTTCCTACTCGATGTCTAAACACACCCCCGCAATATTCGATAAACAATTAAACATCTCAATATCACGTTAAAACAAATCATTATAATCTAATCGTTTGTTATCTAATTGATAGAAATATGTTTCATTAGAAACAATATATTTCTTCTATAAAAAAATATTCCACATAGGATTTTGTTGAATCTTCATAGAATAATATAACCCAAATATTATTAATCTTTGGTGAAAAGAAATTAAATTCTAATGCACGTTTTCATTATTTCTAATTGGAAGTATGTATGTGTAATGTTGTGTGTGTCTGTGTGTGTGTCTCTCTCTTCGTTGTATTAACTCCACGAGGTCACACGATGCTTCTTCCAATCGTCATCATCGTGAATCGTAATTAATCTTAGAGTTTGAAAACATGAATTTTGATTTATTTTCTAATGAAGTATAAAAGTAAAAATTGATCGTTGTTAATCCATTGGTATAGTGTCGAATATTATTTTGTTGGTTGATTATTCGAGAAAAATAAATGAAATGAAATAAAATAAAATCGAAGTTACGAGTGGCCTCGTAAGTTAAGTTTTTATTCCATGAAAGAACGTTGATGGTTGAGTCCAGGTACGAGCAACTGCTCATGGACATCCTGTAGAGAGGGTTGCACCAAGGAGTTGTATGATTGCACGCAAATACGTGTTAACTACAAACTACCGATTAATACATCATCCGCCGAGGATGAGGCTGGACCAATTGAGGGAGGCAGGGCGGTAGGAGGTGTCGAGGATGACGAAGACAACAGGAGGTTAAAGAAACCCCGTTATGAGCGGGCCTTAAGGGATTATGATTATATCGAAGATTTCGACGATGATGAATTCACCGAGGAAGATGATACAGGACTGCCGAAACCCTTTCCTACAGGTACAAACCTGCACCCGGTGTCCTTCGTTTATCAAATTCATCTCATCTTTTTCTTCTCTCTCTCTTTCTCTCTGTTGAACAAACAATAATCATCTTTAAAAAAAAACACTTACGTGAGAACGAAGGACACCGTTTTTAGGACAACTATTTTTCCTGGAAGAACCCCACCCACCCACCCACCCCTTTACTTAACGTATCACTCAACAGCCAAGAAAGATCGTTGCTCGGCGATAATGAAACGAAGTTCGCAGGTCTCATGGGCAACGACTCCGAGTGGTACTTCACTGGAGCCAAGCTGTTCCCGAACGTAAAAGGCTGTGGATACCCTCCAGTGCTGAATTGCAGTATTTTCTACCAGCAGTATGCCATCATAGGGCATAACTTTAGCTGTTACTACTCCAAAGTGGATCCCGGAATAGTCATCAGCGAACTCGACATGTGGCAGGTCTCTCCACGCTTTCGCATTTTATCATTTTTAACATTTATCATTATAATTTTGATATAGAATTATTTTCCCCAGATTCTTCACCCACCCACCCAATTCTGTTCTACTACAACAAATATCCATATCGTTATTCTTTAATATTCTAATTTCTTTAACACCTTGTGTTTCATATTTTATTTTCTCTTCCTAACTCGTGCGTGTGATCCAGGTGAAAAAAAAGAAAGAATAAAAAGAATGAAATGAAAGGAGGTCGCTTTGTTTCGCGTGAAAACGATCGAACGCGACACACACGACCTCGACAAGCCTAACATGCTAGCTAAAACAAACCTAATATTATTTTATCTGCGTATACGATCCTTATCCTATTTGCCTCTCTGTTTCACCTCGAACTTTTAAACGACTCGATTATATATTCTTTTTTTCTTTCTTTCTTTCTTTTTTTCGAAAAAGAAGAAGAACAAAATCAACGCAGGAAAAGTATTCTTAATTTGACATATATAAAAATAATTCTGTGGCAGCGTTGGGATTATCGTTGACTCGTACTACTGCGATATCAGCAAAACAAGAATGAAAAGTAGGAAGAACTTTTAAAAAACTGACTGTCAATCGATTATGACAACAGAAAATTATATAAAAAGTAAAAATACTTCTTAGGTGAACAAGTTTCGTGATTTAAAAAAAGAAAATTAAAGGATTAGGGTAACGTAGGAAGAAGAAGGGAAAGAAAATTTCGTTTACTTTTCGAACTAACTTCGAATTGCATTAAAAATCACCCTCGTCTCGCATGCTAGGGTCTCTCTCAATTTTTTTTTTCTTTCTCTTTTTTCCTCAATTCACGCACACGCACATATACATATACATATAATGTGCATACCTACTCGTATGTATGTATACACGTATGCACATTAAGTTTACACGTGGTATAACTTTTGCAGAAGTTCACTTTTGCAGCAGCAAGGAACGACGGCCTTTGAGAATCGATATACTGCAGGTGCCTATTCAGTTAGGTTTCCTATTCATGCTGCAGTTATGCGACTAGAAGTGTCTCCACACTCGACAGTTTCTCAAACGCTTAACGGCCGTTCTTATTAACGTAGATTTACGTCCCCGCTAATTAGGACACGAAGAATCTTCCGTCGCGATCTTTTGGACTTTCCATCCCCCTTTCCACCCCACCCCACCCCCCCACACCAACCCTTACTCTACTCTTTCTTCTGTTAATAACCGGGCTCTGAATTCGTCTTAAAGTTCGTTCCTTCATCGTTGGAAATAACGTAGATGAGTTAAAGAAAGGGGAAAAAAAAAAAGGGCAAAGGAAAGTTCTTTACTAACCTTCTAATTACACTTCTTCCTTTATTCCCCCCCCCCTCCACTTCTCTCCTCTTCTCGTAATTTCTCAATCTTTCGCGATTTTACTTCTTCTTTTTTTGTTTGTTTGTTTGGTTTGGTTTGGTTTTGTCAACGTTTATACATATTATTCTTCTTCGTTAGTAATATTATCTCATTGGGAAATGAATGAAATTGATTTTTTTTTTTTTTTAACGAGATATCTCATTTTTATTATGAAGTTTTTTATTTCGTTCTTTTCTTTTTTTTTTCTTAAATAGAGCAAATCTACTACGTTCTACTACGTGACAAGTTTTTTTATGAAGGAAAGAAAAATTATTCTACGGTGTTGTACCATAAGGAAAAATATATATCTTTTCGAATTCGCGTGAAAGGGAGAAGAAGAAAAAATAAAGTTCTCGAGAGTGCTCCATGTAAAAATGAAATTTCAGACAAGAGTGAAAAAGAAATAGAAAAAGAAATAGAAATAGAAATAGAAAAGTAGACACGCGTGTATTAGTATAGAAACGTGTGTTCATCATTTTTCTTATGTATGTATGTATCTATGTAAAATAAAATACGCGTGTAAAATACAATCGGTGGTCGGACGCGAACGATTCGAGTCAGCTTTTGTAAAAGAAATCTTTTGAAAGAACCGAAAAAGCATTCGCGATGCAACGCAGAGTGCTTGCAAAGATCTCGCGAGAGAATGCATTTTTTTTTTCTCCCCCTCGTGTAGGCGTACTATAAACGTTTCACGTAAAAAGTCAGAGAAAAAAAGAGAGAGATAGAGAGAGAGAGATAGATACAAGGCATACAATGATTCTGTTTGATTTTTTCGTTGAAAACGTAGCTGTGACATTAGGTAATACACCCACCGAATACAATGCGTTTTCAAACGAAAATATAAATGACGGTGGCCGTGATGAAAAAACAAAAAAGAAAAGAAAAAGTATTTTTTCTTATTTCTCCAATTTTCATATAGTCAACTTCGTTGTATTTTGTTGTTCTTGTTGTTGTTGTTATTTTTCTTTTTAATTTTCAATTTATTCGACGAATTTTAAAGAATACCAACCAGGGGATAGAATAAAGAAAGCTTTTTTTTTCATTTTGTTCACCCCCATACCATCCCCTCAACCCCACTAAGAAAGAATCATGGATGAGTGATTTGTTTTCGCAGTAGTACGAGCACGAAATATCCCCGACATTTTTCTCTTTCCAAACGTTTGCAATTCGTAAATATGTTTTTATATTTATTTTATGACCACCCTACTCCCTCCCCCTTACTTTTTGTTCGATCCATTACATCTAGGAAAAGGAAAGGAAAGAAAGGAAAGAAAGAAGTAACTAAAAAAGAAAAGAAAAAACAACAGATCCTAGGATAGTAACAGTAGTACGAGCACGAAATAAAAAACAACCTCGTCTTGTATCTAACCATCCAAATGTTTCGTTTAGTTTAGTTTATTTTTAGTACAGTTTAGTTTAGTTTGTTTCTTCTCTTTCATACTTTTTACGTAGTTGCATTGTATTCGCAACAATTATACACACACACACACACACTAACTCATCTCTCGCAGAAGAATCATTTGCAAAGTGTCGTTAACAATAACGACGAAATTATTCTTTTCTTGAAAATACAATAGGATAATATACAAGACAATAAATCCTCCAACAATTCCACACACACATATATACCCAATTCACCTGTTCGTTCATACATTTATTCGTTCATTCAACTCATTGAATAAAAATTGTCTCTCCCCCAAAAGAAGTGTATTTTATTCATGTTGAAAAAAAAGAAACAAAGAAAAAAACTATAGAAAATAAATTATATAACATAATATAGTAAAGGTAATCCAAGCTGACAGTGGTTGCGCAAAATGCATTCTCCAGGTGTATATGAACCTGGTGTACGCGATGGCAATTCCGATACCATCTTTCATAATCTCGGTGATATACCTCACCATCGCCTACTTCAAGATCTACAACGAAGACGAGGTTAACCTCGTTGACGGGGAGGAAGGGGAGGAGGGTGTCGAAGGGACCGAGGGAGGCAATGGTACGCCCCTGCCACTCACGAGCGGTGCCCTTACACCTGGAAGCGAAGCTTTTAGGGAGGATCTGGCAAGCTTTGGTCATCAGCTCAAGGTTGCTATGGCTGATGACATCAGTAGGGAAAGCCTTGATGGCATACCTAACTCATTTTCGGTTCAGGGGTAAGCGCCAAATATTTCTCAATTGTATTACCTCGTCCTCAACCCCATCCCACCCCTCCGAATCATTAATTTTTCCATCATTATTCACCATGAATGATATTTTTGAAGTTATACTTCTTTTGGCGCGCGTTTTGGAAAGTGAAGTTAGATGCAACCAAAATAATCGACACCACGAAGTTGTCGATATTTACGATGCGCGGGAAAAACGATTGGTATGAAGTAATTCGTAAATAAATAAATTAGATTGTACATATTAATTAAAACGTTTATCAATGGTATTTAATATCTTCATTTTATTTTAATTTAGAGTATTATATTGGTACGCGAGATAATTGAAGTTATTTTGGAGGTTATGTTCGTTTTAATACGCTAAAAAGAAGTATAACTTCTTACGTGCGTACATAAGTACACACACCAGTTTTTTAATTATATTATTAAGTTGTCGTTTAAAATTCAGTGTGGACGACGTTTAAATGGGAAACAAATTATTGTACGAAGTGCATAAAATTTATTTAAAGGTATACAAAAAAGATAAGAGAGTAGGAAAGTAAACGTTTAGAGAATGATTGAATATATTGTTGTTAGAAGAATAATCAACTTAATATATTAATATATATATACTTGTTTTCATTGAATTTAAGTATTTAAGTAATTTTGTATCTTTCAAGCATTTAGAAAACTATTGAACATTATATTATATCTTATATACCCCAAGTTATTTTCTAAAAACATTGCGAAGACGTTAAGGTGATCCTATTATAAGAGTAAATCCAATTGCCGTTGGTCGTTTATGGTTAATAATATTTTCCTGTGTGGGGTACACGGGCGTGTTCCCCCTTTATCTGTATGTGTTGGGAGATTTTATTGTCCAGTCGAGTGATGGTAAATGTCGATCATGCGACACTTGGCTGGCTTTTAACGCAGTATCCTACTATTACTACTACTACTACTACTACTTATTCATAGTATGCAAGCAGCATTTATATTCTCACGTCATTTTCTAATATACTTTACGTTCGATGTTGGCTTCTGCTCGATTTATCTTAGAAACAAGATTGTTTTGTTAAGATAATTGTACTGACACGAATTGCAATTTAAGTAATCGCTTTAAAACTATCAACCACGTGTTAAGTACAAAAAAAAAATAAGAAAAGTGAACGATAGTAAATGGTCAAACATTTAAAAGTCTTCCAAACGTATATTATTATTATTATTATTATTTTAAGTGGTTTCACTTAAAGAAAAATCACTTGAACACTATAAATACATATATACACGGTTATACTCAAAAATAAAATGGGGACAAAAAAGAATAGGAAATATTTTGATAAAATTAAATGATGGTAGTGGTGGAGTTGAGGGATGGGAGAAGTATGGGGAATAGATAGATAGATATGTCATAGAAAAATCACATAATAGTTCAGTGTTTCCTTCCGAAAACCATCCATTCGATGCCCGACGAAGCAGAAACGCGTATTGTCCGCGGTTTCCTATGTATGTATGGGTATATAAATATCATAGTAACCGCGTAGTATTATCTCTCTCTCTCTCTCTCTCTTTCTCTCTATTTCTCTCGTATGCTCGTAGACCTCGTTTTCAGTATCATACTCACCGATATATCGAACGCGATTACACGGCCAATTTCACCGTCGACCTAAGCCCACCAACATGACTAGGATTTATCCGATGAACTAACATAAGTGTACGCAAACATAACAAGCTTGCATTTTAAACCCTTCTTCTCCCTTTTTTTTTTTGTCATTTTCAACAATACAAAATTTATTCAATTCTCTTTTCAATTAAATTTCTTTTTTAAACATTGATATGTTTGTTCGGTATTTATCAAATGAAAAAATTCCATTGAAATATTGTTAAAAGTATGTAAACTAAATGCATACTGAAAATATGAATATAAAAAGAAAAAGAAAAGAAATGGATTTTACATTTTTACGAGTTTGTAGTAGAAAAATTGTTCAACGACGAATCAATCTTCATCCAGACTAGCCACCACCAACCCCTTCGCCCTGTTCTGGTTCCGTTCCACCCCTTTTTCGTATAAATTTCGTGAATAAAACGTGCGTGTCACTACGAAGTGAAAAAGAATTTTTACGAGATGAAAAATTATAAATAGAGAAAGAAAAAAGGATAATAAAAGTGAGCGTGTATATTTTTGTAAAGATTTCGTAATGTTATTTTATCATTTGAAATTGTGTACACGTTCAATTACTGATTTATTTTATGATATTAGGTAGACGTAGTCTGTAAATTTCCAGATGTTTCTACCATCGGTGTTATACAGCCAACTTGGCAACCCTTAACTGTCATAATATTCACTATACTATTAACGATGGCGTCTTGCAGTCTTGTTTCGTGCCAAGAGCTTTCGCGTTTCCATGTTCGATAAATATATATATATATATATTTTACTATATACTATTTTACTATATATAGAATAAATATGAACGAATGTTTCTGAGTATGTAAAAAATTAATGTTACTTTTGCAATAGCCAAAATTAATATCTAAAATTATTAACTCAATTTATTATTATATTTCTTTGAATTTTCCTGATTGATTAATTTTATTTGTGTGTTTTATATTATATTATAATTTCGAGAGTATTTTTATTGTTGTTTCAAAGAAATCAGTCCTCTTTCTCTCCCTCCCCAAATTTGTACGAATTTGTGCAGTACAGGAACGGGGAGAGATGGAAAAAAGAGGAAAAAAATAAAAAAAGAACATAAAAGTTGGTCGTTGACTTCTCTCGTAACGTCAATTCCTTCTTATTTTTCAGTACACAGACGATGTTGACAATGGGTCTCGGGGTGAGAATTAATCGACGTAAACGACGTATACCTCTATCGTTTCAAACGACAATTCTCGTGTCCCATAGAAACTCAATGAATATGTGTATCTATTAAGTATTTGTGTGTATGTATGTGTATGTAAGTAGGTGTCTAGGTAAATACATAGTATATATACATACACATAGTATAGAAAAGTATAACGGCGACGTGCTGTCTATCGTGAAACCCTCGTACACACCCCTTTTCATCCTGATTTCAACTGTTTATACAAAAACACACATTGAATATATTTTTCAATATTTTTATTACAATTGAAGTTACTAAATAATTCAATTAATTATTGTATTTTTTTATTTTTTATTTATTATATAATTTTGTTTTCAATTTTAAATTCATTTTTTCGTGATAATTCG